AGTCTTAAAGTTAGAGAATAAGATTCTGCCTTTATTTATTTCAGCTAGGTGAGGATTAGAAAAACAAAAAAAGCTGTTCTCTCTTTTACAGCTGCATATGTGCCTTTCTTTCATTGATAACTTGCAATTATGAAAAAAAATCCTCGTCATTACCATATCTCCTTCTTGTAAAAAGATATTCTTTAAAATTTAACTTGCTGGTGGTAAACATGCTTTAAAATTTAACTTGCTGGTGGTAAACATGCTTTAACATTAAATTCAAAACTTCCATATGTATTAGACCATAATAGTTCCACTGTGTCATGTTTAAATTCAACAATTCGTTGTTGCCAATATCCACTAGTATTTTTAAATGTTGATTCTAGATCATCTGGTGACGGACGAAAAGGATCTTGTAGGTTAAACCTGTCTCTTAGTGTGAAGCGAAATTTGATCAAGGTTGGACAAAATCTCGATAATAATAGTGCCCATTGTTCGCCATTTGCAAATAAAGATCGATTAGATGCAGCTATTAAATATTTTAAATTCGGTATTTTTTCAAATAAAATTTGAATATCTTGAAATTCTATAAAATCACTAAAGTACACAATTAAACGTATTAAATTTGGTAAGAAGATATTCGTTGTTATTGTTGTCGCAAGGGGTAAATAATCTTTATCAGTATCATTACACAGATAATCAATTTTGATTGATTTTAATTTTTGTAATGCTGGTACTAAATGAATAAGATATTCAATAGACATATGATAACAAAATAAATATTGTAAATTTGTTGTTGTTGATCTTGGTATAAATAGTTCATTCAGTTTTATATTTATACAATTATTTAAATAAAAATATGTTAATGACGGTAATAATGATGAAGAAAATATTGTTTCAATGAAATGTGTTACATTCTTCGATGATGATGATGCTTCTTCTCCATTAAGCAAAAGATTTTCTAATGATTCTAATTCTTTTGATGACAATGATAATAATAATGAATCGATTAATTGATTTGTTATAAAAGGTAAATCATCAACATGTGTCACATTCTCAGATGTTACTTTTTCTCCATTACAAAAAACAATCTCTAATGATTGTAATTGTTGTAATGACAATGACACTAACGAATCGATTAATTGGTCTGTTATAAAAGGTAAATCATTATCACGTACATGTCTAAGTGAAATTGAATGAAGTCCAGTAAATAATTTTAATGAATATGATGATAGAAATTGATAGATGTGATTATTAGTGGGTGGAAGATTTTTTAATATTAATGATTTGATACATTCAATATTGATTTGTGACGACATTATTACGTTCATACAGTAATAAAAGTTTGCTTGAGAAGAGAAATTCAACTGACTTGCCGTTTCACTGATAATGTTATTCATCCTTATGTTTAAATTGTAAAATGTTCGGTATAATTCATTACCATCAAAAAATTCAAATATTATATAGAACAATTCTGTAGGTAAATCTTCCAGCAGAACTACCGCGGATCTAGCTGACTGTAATGAACTGCTAAATAAAGAAAATAGAAAAAATTAAATTATAAAAAACAACAATAGTCAACATTCAGTTTAGAAAGGGCGTATTTAGCGTAGACTTATCTAAAAAGTCGAAATGGGAAACTTATCTTGTTTGTATGGCTATTGGCAGAAATGATATATGACACATTTGCACGCACCAGCAGTGTCCAGTTCTCGAATTCCATGGAAAGTCCTAGAACTGGGGGAATTCACCACATTCAAATATGTACTGTTACTAAGATTCTATTCAGAATCTAGCAGAATTTCAGTGCTATTCGAACTGACCCAGAATCTGCCAATTCGTAGAGAATATGAACTACTATCGGAGCCAAAATAAAAGAGCAGTGGTTATTTTTTGAATAACTCAGCACCAAATAAAAATAAAGGCTTGTGATTTTCACCGTTCGATAGCCAAGACTTGAGACTATCTTTCTACAAGCAAAACCTATTTTTGGAAAAATTTTCGAAGCCGGATTTCCAGAGAATCTTTGAAAAACTAGCTTGAATTTTCCGAAATTGGAATAAGAATCTATTGATTGTTTTGGGGCATATATAGCCCGAAGTGTCCTCTACAAAGTCGAATCCAGGCGACATCTTGAAAACCCATGGTTCGGGAGCTAAAGACGTTTTTCCTGAAGCAGTGGCGTATCCAGGTAGTGGGCAGTTGCCCACTAGTCCAAAATTTATTGCCCACCAGTTATTTTGAGATAATGGCAATTGCCCACTGTGAAAAAGTTTTGATACTCGTATACGTTTGATGACTGAAATGATGTGATTTTAATGAACTGTCTCAAGATGAAACAAGTGATGTTTGTCATTGCCCGATGAAAAAAGACAATATGACGTTTGTCTGATTCGATTGAAAAGATAGACTACACTCATCGTCGTCATTAGCAAAAAGAAAGCGAGCAAGCTGTTCTGTTAGTTGAGGTTGACGAATTTCTCTTTCGCAACCATCGGCTTTTATAATGTCAATAAGTTTTTCAAAATTATTGCCCAGTAGGTTTTTGGGGCGACTGAGATGCATGGGAGTGAGTAGCCATAGTTTGAATTTTTGAATTTCCACAGAACTGTGGAACTTGGCACCACTCGGACACACTCCCCTTTTTATATTCATATAAAATCCTGTAAATATTAGACGGTGAGTACCATAAATGGTTCAGATCTCCTCAGTATTAGATATCGATCATTTTTCAAGAACAGACAAGTGGTAGTTCGGTCTGACTAAGTTCCAAGAAACTTTTGAACTATCCAGTTTACAACAAATTATAACAAAGATTATCATACTTAGATTTGTGTGCACTTTTTCCCATCTCGAAAGTTATGATCGAAATTTGCTTATTTTACTATGCGTGCTTTTTTCATTGCTTTTTCAAAACGTTCTGACACTATTTCATTGAGCGGCATCATTTTCTGAATTTTAACTACGTTTTTCAGTATAATTCGCATTTTTTTTACTATAGCGATACGGGTTTTTTGCTGTTTTACGACGAAAAAATCTGTTGAATAGAGGCAAAAATCTAAAATAAACAGACCATAACAACATTTGATAGTAAACAAAACAAAGATGATAATGGACAAAACATTAAGTTGTTTTGTTCTATGCCAAAAAATGGAGTGAGAATCTAACCCATAAAATATAGACTGTGCTATCTAAAAAAACCGCAGGTCGCTGGAACTTTTCGTTCCGGAGTTATAAGCGTTTTGATCACTCATCTTATTTTCAGAAATATATAATAACTATAGGTAATTTTAAAAAAATGTACATGTTTTAGATCTGTATGTGTTGAAAAAAATGTAGAATGAAAAGTAAAGACATCCAACAGCTTGCACTGCGACGTACGACTTGAACTTGAATCTTTTTGATACCCACATGGACATTTGACATAAAATAAATACGAATGTCCAGAAACACAGTTTTTATACGTTTTCCGATACGCTCTTGCCACTAAAATACTTTGCGAAGCTCAAAAATGCTTTTGTCTGATTTTTCAGGGATCCCGAGTCTTTGGAAAACCAGAAATACGAGGATACTGGTCGGAATAGTAAATAAATTATTTTAAGTAGGTTTTCGAATATGCTGATTCCATTTCTGTAAGAAAGAAAAATCTTTAGAACTGTTCCTGCACGGTTTACTTTAGACTTTTTATTACAGGATAGATGCCAAAAAGTAATGTGTATCTACGAGAATCGAACACGACCACTTCGTATCAGAATATATCATATATTACATCGAATTATATATACTTACGAAGCATTACCCACTAATAGGCTATCCAGGCACACAATACTACTTAATCGATATCTTTCATATCATGATTCGAATATAAAGGAAATAACGTTCACCAAATAGAATAGAATTCTAGCGTGTATACCACATATTCATATCCGAATGTAACATTAGGAGACATTCGATATATCTATCATTATCTATCATCTTTATCTATGTGTCATATATATACGAGGAGAGCTATGTTTCTCTTGTTGCTGTGTAAGCATATATACATATGTTTTGTTTCTTTCTTCTGATGTCTCTTCTCTTCCGAATGTATCCTAATGTCGTATATGCGAGATAAAGATAAAGACAAATACGCTAGACTTCTAATGACAAAACTGGAATGGTGTTTTGAGAAAAACGAAACAGAATAGAATATCAGACTGTTGCCACATTTGTGCGGAGTAGTGGGCGATATAGGTTTTTTGCTGTTTTACAACGAAAACATTTGTTGAATAGAGGAAAAAATCTAAAATAAACAGACCATAACAACATTTGATAGTAAACAAAACAAAGATGATAATGGACAAAATGTTAAGTTGTTTTGTTCTATGTCAGAAAGAAATGGAGTGAGAATCTAACCCATAAAATATAGGCTATGCTATCTATCCACACAGTCCGGATTTCAATCAGCTCAAATCATCGATGAAAAAGGCTCCGGTGGGGATTTTTCTCAAAAATCGCGTTTCTCGGTCCAGCTTCGGATCAAAGCAGAAACTCTGAACCAGAACTGATTCTGCATTTTCATACCATTCAACAAGCTCTACAAGACTAGCATAGTAAAAAAGGGTCGACTGAAAGTCGATGTGAACGTGGGAGAGGCTGTGTTAAAGTACCGACTCATTGATGCAAAGAGAATAAAAATTGTTACTGTATTGTCTATCAATATATTTTCACCGGTGATGAATTTATACATCGTTACCGATGATATCGGTATTCCATTTCTGGCCAGAATATTGGAATCTGCGCAGCACAAGCAGAAATAAATATGAACCTGTACAGGATGTCACAAAATTTCAAGATTCTCTATAAAATCATATACAGAACGTCAACCAGTGGTTTGAAACACAAAAGCAAAGCGCTGGGGCCTGTTTCTTAAAAAAACTTAAGTAGAAAATCTTACTTAAGTCAAAAAAGACAAAGACTTTTTTGGACTTAAGTAAGATTTTCTACTTAAGTTTTTTTAAGAAACAGGCCCCTGTTCTCTTGCGTTTAATCTGGGGTATTATAAAATACCTTTTGCGGTCTGCCTATCAACAAAACACGAAAATGGAGAATATGGAATATTCGTTTATAGGCAGAGCAATCACATGAGCAATATATTAATGCAGAAGAAAAAAAAACTGCTATTCAAGAAAAAAACCAAAACTAACTACCCGATAGACAAAAGGACTGATAGTGATAGACACTTTTTCGGAGATGCAAGATAGATGTCGTCCGAAACAGATCACCTGTATTGCGGCTTGTTTTATCATCATCTCAAAAAAGTAATCGAAAATTTTCAAATTGTTTGCGTTACTTGTTACGTTACTTTGAAATGTTCACTTGGTAACCCTAGATTTTTCTCGATATGTTTCCTTTTTTTTGTTTCCTTATATTCTACAAGATCACGAAAATGACTCTCAAGGTTAGACTACGTCGTAAAATGAAAAAACAATTGACTATACTGTTGTGGTTAGCGAGACTGATAGACGCGTGCTGGACTATTTCATTTTCTTTTTTTTTCTTCTTTCACTGTGTTCATTTTTACCCAGAAATGTGTCATTTTTTTTGATTTATTTTTTTTTTTCATGGAAAAATCAATTTAAATCAATTTTTTTTGAGAAAAACCGATTTAAATTTACTTTTTTAAAATTCTTTTAGAAAAATCTCTTTAAATTAATTTTTAAAAAGATTCATTTAAATTCATTTTTCGTAACTTTTTGTGTGGAAAATCTATTTAAATTTATTTCTATCTCAATGCATTTGGTTTTAGTTTTTGAGAAAATCTATTTAAATGCATTTTATCTTTTATTTGGAGAAAAAAGAAATTCAGATTAACCTTTTTACAAAAACCAAGATCAGATTCATCGAGAAAGAAATGAATTTAAATAGATTTTTCGCACGAAAAGTTACCCAGAATGAATTTAAATTCATTTTTTTAAAAATTAAGTTAAGCAGATTTTTCTAAAAGAATTCTATAAAAATTAATTTAAATAGGTTTTCTCAAAAAAAAAATTGATTTAAATTCATTTTTGCATTAAAAAAAATAATAAATCAATTTTTAACGTTTAACATTTTTAACGTAAAAAAAATCGATTTAAATTCATTTTTCGATTTAAAAAGATAATAAATCGAAAAAAATGGCAGATTTCTTTAAAAAGTGCCGCAATGGGTACTTTCTCAAAAACTTAAACATACGATACAGCAGATAGAAGGAAAGCAACATACAGAGACAGATACGAAATTTATATAATAAAGAAGCAGCGACTCTTGTGGACTACGTGTCGACGAAGTTAATAACCGATTAGTTGCATCG